GGGGAGAGTGTGTTGGCGGTTTGGGTTGGTTGCTCCGCAAAGCCCGAGTACCTTTACTCCACAGGTGCTGCTTATCCGGGGAGCTCCCTCTTGAGGGTTGCAGCCTCAGTTTCTTGTAACGTTATTCGCACTTCTTTTTGATAGAGATTTCTCTGCTTCAAAATTTCACCACGCTGAAAGCAGGTCAGTTGTGATTGATAAGTTGCTGATGTTTAAAATTATATCTAATAATACCCATTACTAGTTCACTTTTACTAAGCTTGTATTTGGGTGCTAACTATTCCAGAGATGTGCTTGGGCAGACAGAACCTGGATCCAGATGTTGGTGAGCAGAGTGTTCACGGCTTGAGTACAGGGTTTCTCCTCACTGTACTTAATGATTGCACGCTGTACACTAGCAATGACACCGGTTTTGACATGGGAGAGAGGATGGCAGAGTCCATGTGGTGCCACATCTGATATACTCAGCCGTGCTTCTCTCGTGTGCTGATTGACCCAGGATAAGTGCTGCAAGGGTGCAGCTGTCTCGCTTCTGGAGATATCTAGGACTGATCGGGGGTTCTCTGATCCTGTACTGCTATCCACTGCTTTCAAATCTTCCTGCACAGCAAAGACCAGACCTCTGGAGTAAACAACTGGGGAAAAAAGACAAGAGCCCAAGTATGGTTTTTTGGACACTTCTGTCTTCCAGCAGAGTCAGAGAGGAGATACTCATCTGTGCAAGTTACAGGCCACCCAGGAAATGGTGACAGCAGCGGGGGACGAAGAGCGTACCCCACTGACACTGCGACATTACCTTTATCTGTCTCGTGCTGGGATTGGGGGGCAAAATCGAAATGCTGCTGGATTTCCAGAAAGAAGTGCTAACTATTAGAATTATTCCTTATTTACACCTAAGAAACTTCATTTAGAAAAGTATATAGAGTTTGTGAAAAAACAGAAATTCTTATAACTCAACACAAAACCAGACAGAACTAGCCTTGTATAAACAATGAAAACCAAGGGTAAAACCAGACTGTGTGCTGGGCAGCCAGTGCAGTCTTTCCCCTTCCCCTCTTGTGTGCTGCTCCTTCACCCTATACTTCCACCTTCTGCTTGTTGCATTCATTTGTTGCACCATCTTTTAAATTAGCCTCTGGCATTGCAGTTGAGTGATTCAGGTACCTTCTTCTCATCAAAGTGAAGAAAGCTTCTGGTGACGGGGAGGGTTTTTTCCCTTATGCATGGATCTAGGGAGTAATTTTCTAGGAAGAGAACTGGCATAATATAGCCCAGGGTGCTTCTCAGAGCTTCTGGGGTGTGGGACACTGGAGAGCAGATGAAACTTCTTGAGTGCTGTTGCAGCACAGCAGTTGCTTGATGCTTAAATGTTGGAGCCTTAGGCATTATAAAATAGAGAGTACAAATGGTCTTTCTTTTGAGAAAGAGATGGTGGTTGTACTGTGGTGGCACAACAGCCAAACTCATTCAGATAAAGAATTACTCGTGATTCTTAAATGCTTGCAAGGAAGAGTAAGCTTTCTTAATCTATCATATATATATATATATACACACACACAGAGCTCATTTTATGGCACTGCTTACTTGCTTCTTTTACTTGTGACATTTTCTGGTTAATAACTGTGGGATATCAATAACATACTGGCATCGTATTGCTACCACAGTTATGAATGTGTATAGTACTGCCTTACGCCAGAATGACAAAGTGTTCATGCCCTCACTGGGTCAGCAGCAAGTCTTAAGTTCTTCTCACTGCCGCCCCGCTGTGACAGTTCCTGGCTCGCTTGTCTCGGTGCCTGGAAGCCGACACCACTGTCCACC